CTACAGAGTAGCAAGACTACCCGAGCCGGTGAATGCCTGGAGGAAGTCTGCGCAGCACATCATCTTGTCCAGCATGTCACCCAGCCAACCCGCGGCAACAATACTCTCGATCTTATCATCTCCGATTTCTCACACCCCGTATGCACCACAGCCTATGCACCACTTGGACGATCTGATCATGCCGTTATCATTGCCGAGTTTCTCCAACAGCATCCACGACGCGAAGATCCTGCTGTTCGACAGGTTTGGAAATACGCCCGTGCTGACTGGCACCGCCTGAGAGCCTACCTCCGCAACATAAGCTGGCCCGCCAAGATCCATGGGTGTGCGGAGCAGTCCTGTCAGCGCGTAACTGATGTCATCATGCATGGAATAAAACAGTTCATACCATCCAAAGAGCTTGTGGTGCACCAATCCAACCCTGTATGGTGGACACCGGACTGTTCTAACGTCAATCATGCCAAGGAGCGGGCATGGAAGCTGTGGCGACGCAATCCCCGCAACGATAACCACAAGGTCCAGTTCATCACAACTGTTAACCACGAAGTGGAAGCGTGTCATGCAGCGCGATTAGCACATCAACGTAGAATTCGCAACAAGCTTACTGCAGGTTCCCTCCGGGACAAAGAGTGGTGGTCAACCATCAAGAGCGCAGCAGGCAAGGGACGTTGCTCTGACATCCCCCTGCTGACCAACCCTGCAGGACAAGAGTTCCACTCTTCTCGTGAGAAAGCCGAGTGCGTTGCAGCGCATTTTGCGAACAAGTGTAGCCTTGGCAATAACGACCTCTGTGCTGCTGACCTGCCTGACCTGCAACGACCTGCCTATGCCACGCTAAAGCACATTCACTTCCGCGCAGCAACGGTCAAACGGCACTTGGCGAACTTGGCTGTATCAAATACAACTGGACCGGAGGGCATCTCTGCTCGTGTGCTCAAGATGTGCTCATCTGAACTTGCAGACCCACTGGCAAAGCTCTTCGCCCTCTGCTTCTTGGCCGGTGTGCAACCTGGGGCATGGAAACTTGCCCATGTAGTTCCAGTTCACAAACGGTCCCCCAGATCTTTGGCATCTAACTACCGACCAATATCACTGCTAACGATCATGTCGAAAGTCATGGAGGGCATTGTAAACACGCAACTGGTTAACTACCTAGAGAAGCATGAGGTGTTGCCAAACAGCCAGTTTGGATTCCGACGTGGTAGAGGAACCGCAGATATCTTAACGGCTCTCCAACATGAATGGGTCCACACCATAAGTACTGGCGGTTGTGTCCAGGTCCTCGCTGTGGATATTGCCGGTGCGTTTGACCGGGTATCGCACACAGGAGTGCTGTACAAAGCAGGCCGGCGTCGACGGACGCCTGCTTGTATGGCTACAGGACTACCTCACCAACCGAAACATCCGCGTTGTGGTTGGAGGCCAGACGTCAGATGCTCAACCCATCCAGGCTGGTGTCCCCCAAGGCAGCATCCTAGGACCCAGCCTCTTCCTTCTATACACCTGTGACATTGAACAATGTTTAGCTCCAGGAACGCAGCTGAGCAGCTTTGCAGACGACACCACACTCTACAGCTTAGTACAGCCAACTGACGATCTCCAACAGTCCACCGCCTCCCTCCAAGGGTCCCTCAACAGTCTTGAGGAGTGGGGCCGCAAGTGGCGTATCTGTTTTGAGCCAGCCAAGACACAGCGCATGACTCTACATCGCAAGCACGTTCCCCCCTGCACTCCACCAGTCACCTTTGGAGGTGAAGCACTCCAGGAGACAGATACCCTGAAGCTGCTGGGAGTCATGCTCGACCCTACTTTCTCCTACAGAGCGCACACTCGCAGTGTTGCACTGCGCGCCTCCCAAAGGCTGGGTTTCCTACGAAAGGCAGCACCCATCCTGGACGACCATGGTCGAGTGACGGTCTACAAGGGATTCGTGCGACCCCTACTTGAATATTCCCCACTGGCCTGGTCGAGCGCAGCCGCAACTAACATGGCCCAGCTGGACAAGGTTCAGCAACGTGCCCTGCATTTCCTGGGACCTGGAACCATCCTCCAAAGTCTTCAGCTTCGTCGGATGGTGGCAGCCCTGTCATACTTGTTCAAGCTGCACTACATTCCAGGGCCTCCCCAGATAAAGGCCATGCTGCCACCAACCAAGCCCCCTGCCGTAGCTAGCATGTGCACACGGCAAAAACGTCAGACGCACCATGCCTTTCAGCTGAAGTGGACACCCCCTCGCACAGCCCCTGACTACCTCCTGCGATCCTTCCCCTTCTTCGCCATCACACCCTGGAACAACCTGCCTGCGGACCTCCTGCTTCACGAGCCTCATTCAAGACGCCTCCAAACCTTCAAGGTCAACGTATGTAAGGATCTAATCCGAAAGAGATGGCTGTGGTCCACACAGTACTTGTGACGATGATATTGAGATTTGAGACCCATTTAGTATTTACCTCTCTACTACTACTTGCTTGTTATGATTATTGTTCTCTTGCTTCATTTTCCCTTCTGGTTTAGTCATTACACGTATTTATATTATTTGGTGCAATACTAGCGCCCCTTTCTCGCACCAAATTATTTTTGCTACCTGACCATGCAACCCCCCCTTTTTTCGATGCCAGGTTGCAACGCTAACGCCGAGACCCCTGGTCGGTCGAGTTGCTCCCCGTACATCGGCACGTCGTCCCTACACCCCTGTGTCTTGTCTTGTGTTTGTCTCCACATGTCTCTTTGTAGGGCTGTGTTCCCAATAAAAAAATAAAAAATAAAATAAAAAAGCCTCCTTTGTTCCGGCGGTCTTGTCAGCCAGTGGCGGAATGGGTCCAGTGTCAACAGCACTGTATAAACACATTGCTCATCTGTTGGCTGAGAAGAGGTGTGAGCACTACTCTCATGTTATGGCATTTGTTAGATGCAGGATTTCTTTCAGCCTTCTGAAATCCTGTATCATGTGCATTCGCGGTTGTAGGCGTAAACATTTTTGTTTAAAATTTGCACCCTCCTGCGGAGCCCACGCTGCTTTGGCAGTGGCGGAGGTTCGCTTGCCGACGTAACCGTCGGAGACCATCATGAACAATGGACTGACTAATTATTCACTTTCCCTGTCTTTCTAAATATCATGTTTTTGCAAAAAAATCACCAGTTGACCTTGAGGAGGCTAATGAAGTTTCTTCAAATCACTGTATATTGAGCTAGGCGTGGTGCATTCTTGCAGGTTTACCGAGTGGAAAGTTCGACAGTATTCTCGTGTGCTCCAGACGCAGTCGTGAGTCATTCAAGGCAAGTGTCAAGTCAGTCAGCAGGAAGCCCCAGCTCCGACTTTCGGAGCTGACACTTTCTTCAAAGCCAACAAAGACAGACTAATTCTCTGCCTCTGCAGTATATTCTAACACCATGAGTCTACTTCTGAGCCACCCAAGCTGGGTGCTGTGCTGCTTTGCTTCTTCGAATTGTAGTTAGACCGCTTTGTCAAGCATCTTACTGGTCTCGTCATCATCCAATAACAATCAACATTCTTTGTTCTCGTGAGACTGTAGCTTGCGCTCATTTTCGTTGCGCTTATCTTCTCCTCTTTGGTCTCTTCTTAACCTTGAACCTTCCGAGTTGGAAAGCTGCTCAATGTTGGTTAGCGCTACGGAGATGTGTGGACGCTAGATGTCACCTCATCGAATGTCTCAGTACTCTATCGGTTTTGTGCCTAGCTGTTGCATTTTCTGATTGAATTATAGTATCTAGTTACAGTGGTGGACATTTATTATTAACTCGCATCCATATGTCCTTTTTCTTTCTACATTTATTATTGGCTCAACATCCGACTTTCAAATAAGCTGTATACCCTAACATGGCAAAAACGCGGTTTGAGTTTGGATATCAGACTCGGTTAAGAAAGATAGTAAATTATGCTAAAAAAAGGAGAAGTACAACATGTTACGAGGTATGACTAACTCTCCACCACCGTAACCAGACAAAATGGCACAAAACTGTCAGTTTGATCCGTTCCTTCACGTCTCCAAGGTACAAACCAACAACCTTTCAACTTGGAAGGATTAGGTTTGGAAAGGTCTCGGTACTCCTTGTCAATTTTGTGCCATTTTGTCGCACTCGCTGACTGTTTATCCTCTGCTTATGTTGGTTAACAGTTAGGTATACCTCGTAACATTTTGTTCCTTCTCCTTTCCTTCCATGATTACATTGGCTCACCATCCGAGTTCAAAGATAGTAAATGTTAGGGATTTTTTAAGTTCAAACTTTAACCGCCAAGTTTCCTTCCACATCAATTGTCATTCAATCGGTCTGCAGTTGATGGCAGCACCGATCAGAAGTACTGGCTAAGGGAAGAATAGTGAAGGGCTTGGTCATGAGCATTGGTACACGAAACCACTACATTGGGCAACATAACTATCAGCTGGATCGTACACAAAGGAGAGAGTATGAGCCAGAATGCTGGTCTTGCGCACACCAGCTAAGAGAGGACGAACTCGTGATGGTACTCTAAAAACAACTAATGGTACTTGCAGATGACGTAATGGTACTTGCAGATGACGTAATGGTACTTGCAGATGACGGTCGGTAAGAAACGCTCAGTTAGCCATGGAGGCGAGGACTCATTGAAGAGGTAGCCAGTGATCTTGTAAAATCTGCATCAGCGTGACACCTTTTCAAAAGCTACAGCGGTGTCTACTGTAACTGGAATAACTGCTCTCAGAGAGTTAATAGTGCGCAGCCATTCAGAAGATTCAGCAGGTCTATTACCACTAGAGCATTTGGCAGAAGGCAAAACTGGTACTCGGCTAGATGTTTCATGATACTAATGTTAATGATGCACTACATGACTTTAGACTTGAACCTACTTGTACTTGTGCTGTGCATCTACGTCCTGCGGCGCAGGAAACCAGGCACAATTGAAACTGGATATCTACCATCATGATTATGCTATTACAGCAAGAAGGTACAAGAACATTTACTCGACAGGATTTTGCGTGAGATTGATTTTGTCGTCGCTGGGAAAAACCTGTATTTTGAAGCGCCTCCAAAGTAACCGTTCGTGGAGCTGAGTCACCACAACGAGTCTTTTCTAGATAATCAGCTGAACGCTGGTCGAAGGCAAAATGAACCTGCGGTCAACTACTCGCCTGTCTATATGGGTTGCATTGTTGTTGGTGGTCTCGTTCAGTAGGGCTCTCTCCAGGACCGTTCTTGCAGGAACCCACGCCAGTACTGGAAATGCAACAGGTGAGAGCATTACTATGGCGATGTTAGTTTACAACCCAACAGCATTTGTGGACATATGTGGACTGCTCGGACGAAGGTAAACTCTTGAGTATCACAAGCGACTAAACCCTTCCTAATCTCTTTGTTTTCTTTCCGGTTGGATCATTTACTTGAATGGATGTTTTAACTGCACTGCAGTGTTTGTGGCTGAAAGCAACTGTACTCGTTTGTTGTGCAATCATTTTCTCATTTTGTCGATTATTAGGTGTTGCTGAGTCGTGTATGGCACGAGTTCTTCATCTTCTACCATCTACAGCTCTTCGTCTTAGCATCCAGGACACAGAGACACTACTTGAAATAATTGGCCTACGTCAACCCATTGATCAGCTTAACTACGCCAACGCTGACACCACATCCCTATCAGCTTTGCTAGGTGGACGGCAGAATGCTGAAATGCTGGTACAGTGTCTGAGTGAGTCTACTGATCTACTACGCATATACTGTACTTCTAATGAATTGATGACAAACATTACAAGTCTATGTTTGTGACTTTACACACACGTAACCCTGGTCCCTCACTCTTCGGGAATTTCTAGATACACGTATGTGAAAACTTGTCTCAGTAACTCATCAGACAATATTTTACCTGGCCCACCTGTACCGAGTCTGGCCTTACACAAACCTCAGAGTACATGATTGATTGTGTAGGCTTGAGCAATTTTGGTCTCCTTTGCATTGCCCAGGTTATATAAACGTTCAGCACCAGGGAAAAGAGCTTTATCGGTAGCGAGTACCATAACATGCTTTGCATTCAATTGATAATACTCGTCATCAATTTTTGGAAAGATTAAATTAAATTGCTGACGTGTATATCAATATAAAATAGTCTTTGAATCCTGTTGTATTGGATTTGATACCACAAATTGGTACCTCAATCATTTTAGCATTAAGGAGCGCTCTTGCCGGCTGATTTTTGTACGAGAGTTCTAATACTTTATCCACCCACCTTTTGTTTCGAATTTGACTATTGTCTTATGCAGGTGGGCAGCTCGAGCAATGTCGCCAAAGTCCCCCGTGCAGCAATGCAGGAAAATGCATTTTCAGCGGTTCTCGACAAGGGAGAGGCTCGTCGTACATTTGCAACTGCAATGATGGTCATTCTGGAACGTATTGTCAGACCGGTAATATTTTAGTGTATTAGTGATACGTAGTGTCACGCCAAAATAAAGGATTCTTCATCTCAAACGCTCAAACACGGTCTCTTTGCTGCATACCGTGAACGTCACTTGAAATGTTCAACATTATTTGGGCCCGTCCCATCAATAGGGTGAAATAGAAAAATGTTTTGGTAGAACTAATGAATTTTAACGTAATTAGGTTAACGTTATTAGAGAAAACCTAACTTTGTCTAACATCTACCAGAGGTTTACCTGAATTCCTGATAAATTTGAAACATCATGGTGTTGAAAAGTGAAAAGTGTGAAGAATTGATTGACTGCCACCACCAGACCTCAAACCATTCCGGAGCTATGGTGTGGCTGACATCTCATCAGATTTTAACAAACACATATTATTATTGAATCTTGAGACTTCAGAACTCCAACCTCCAGTGACTCTGCATAGGAGACAATAACGTTTTTGAAAATGTGTGTTTCTTGACACCTCTTGCTCTTTTACTTGCCTTTTCTACCGCTCAGTTCTACCATCTTGCGCTGGAAATCCATGTCAGAATGGGGCAACATGTCAACAAAGAGGGTCATCATTCCATTGTCACTGTCCTCCACTGTATACTGGACACCATTGTGAAAAAAGTGAGATTCATAACTCAGGAGGGAAACATTAAAAATTTAACGGTTGTTCTCAAGATATGAAGTGGTACTTTTTAACACGTGACACTCACTGTACCAAGATTTCAAAAGAATGTTTTATACTTTTGCCAGTACGTAAATGTATATGCTTCCCTACTGGGATTCATCGGTATCATAATAGGTAAGTACTAATAGGCCACTTCCTCCACCAAGGTATCCGTTTTTGTTCTCTTTTCAAACATTAAAGCCAAATTCACGAAGCGGGTTAACCCGTTATGTCCTGATTCCCAGGACAGAATGAAGCAGAATTTGAATTTTCATGACAATGTTCACCTTCGACAGGATGTGACTTTCGCCTCCTCCGCTCAAGTTCCATAATCTAAGACTCGTTTGGAAGCTCTGGTTTTAAAAGCGCATATCTCCGATTAATCTATTCACCTATATCCCTGTCTAAGCGCTTATGTGGGACCGAATATTACGAGTGACAGTGGTGTGAGTACTGGGGTTACTAATGTAGTGTACTTGACAGCTTCCTCCTATAGATTGTAATCGGTACTCCCTGATTGCTAGTCAAATGACGAAACACAATGTTTTACCATCCATGTGTGTGTTGATACCTTAGAGTGGCTGGATGCAAGAACGTTCCGAAAGTACGCAAACACAGTGCATCAAATCAGTGATCAGATGAAGAACCTGGAGCGAGGGATGGACGCAGCGAGACATGACGACGTCAGTCGGATCGAAACCTTTCTCCAGAGACTTGAGCAAAAAGTCATGACTAAGTTCAATTCCACTTTGACTCAGCTCTCATCTGAAGTTGTAGCACCGGTAAGCACAGTACATACATCTACATGTACATATACTCATATAGTCATGTGTGCAGTCATATGCAGTTATGTTTATCGTCATTTTCAGAGTACCGCATTTCTCGCTCCACATATACTGGCATACACAGACACATAGACAGCAATAGCGACAACACACGAAGTGAAGGGTAGTTGGCCGCAGCCACATGTTACTGGTGAGACTCAAGACTGACTGCAGAAGTCAGGAAAAGAAGCGACAATAAAGAACACACCAGATGCTATATTTGCAACGGAAAATGTTTCGCGAGAAATCATATCTCGCAATCTTGCTGCGCTCGGCCGGCGAGAAATACAACGTCTACATAGTATTATGTATTACAAGTATTTATTTGCAAATGTTGTTTATCAATGAAAAAGGATGAGGCAAGTAAAGTGTGTCTGGTAGTAACCCTACTGAAGGCAAACAGACTGAACAATTGCCTGTAGTTTGTATGTCATGCCCTTACATTAGCATAGCTGTCAATCCAGCAGAAACAGTCAAACGGTTTCCTCAGACTTCGAAATTCACGCCTCCTGTGAAACTACACAGAATGGTGGTACGCAGCCCTCACTGAACACACACGTTTGGCTTTTCTTGTAGAATCACCGCCTGGATGAAGGCCACGGAAATCAAGAAGGTATGATGTAATATATTGATATTTATTTAAACGCGTTAAGCTGATAATTATTTTGTACGTGAACAAAGAGGAAATTCTTTCGTTGCAAATGTGAATCTGCACGTATCAGGTATATGACACAGAAATGGCACATGAACTACCACCTTGAAAAGGTACTTGTGAGTTTCTGGCCAGAAAGCGACCATCAAACACTATGTTGATATGAATCTACTTCTAGTGATCTTGAATTGGTGAGAAACTCAGATTCATATTTTTTATTTTATATAACTATTTATTACAACATCTCAAGACTCGGTGGAAACACCGGCCAATGTTAAGAGAGTGGGTGATTGCCAACCAAGGCGATAAATAAAAATCAGGAGAGGGAAAAGAAAGAGTAGCAAAATGAACAGCAACAACAACTCCGTAAAGAAAGATGTCCAATAAAAACAGTGAAAAACACTGAGACGTAAAGGACATGTGGATAATTAGCTATTTATGTCGTAGTAAAGATGGGGCGGCACGGATCTTAAACAGGCGGAGTGAGGTCAGATCCTTAACTTCTCTGGGTAGAGTGAGCGAAACAGAAAAAGCAATAAATAGAGGGGAGCGCAAAAGAGTGGATGAGTTACACTTATGGAGTAAGAGCGAGTTTCTAGTTCTTAGAGAAGAGAATCAATTAAAACACATGAGATGAGGTGGGCACAACTCAAGCTTAATAGAATGGGCAAGAGAACGCCAGGTGTGCACTGCGTCCAGGTGATAACGGGGTTGTGTGAGCTATTATAAAAAGGGCTGATGATGAGAGCATGCGGGGTTGACGGAGGAGAATTTTAAGGATTCTCTTGTGGTGTATTTCAAGCTTTGCAGCAGCGGAAGAGGATAATCCAACCCAAAACGTATCGGCATAATCAAAATATTGGGCGAAGGTAGGCTAAATAAAAATGAATCTTGCAAGAAAGTGGGAGGTAGGAGCAGTGGGGGGAGAGAATTCCTAAGGATTTACTTGATTTTTTTTACAGATATATTCGATGTGGGGTACCCAAGAGAGTGCAGAGTCAATCACAATGCCAAGGTGTTTGTGAGAAGACACTATGTCAATTGGATTTGGAAAGTTGGCATGGATGAGGGTTGTGAACTCTGGCTGGGGCGGGAAGAGCATGATCTTTGTTATTGATAGATTTGGGGACAATCTCCAGGACGACATCCAGGAAAGAACTTCCTTAATGCCAGCACGTAAGTTGTTTTTCAGGCCACTGAGGGAAGCTGATTAGGTGAGAAGGGTCGTGTCGTCAGCAAACACAGACTTTCCAGGGAAGACTGCAGGTAAGTCGTTTACGTAAATTATAAATAGTAGGGACTAAAAAATGTTCCTTGAGGAACGCCTGACAATACTTGCTCTGCAGCCGAGGATGTGCCAAGCACAGTTACGTACTGATAACGTCCGGAGCGATAAGATTTCAGCCAGGAAAGTGGTTGTTTACGTTCCCTGAAAGCATGCTCGAGCTTTGCCAAAAGTCCTCGATGCAAGACGGTATCAAACGCCTTGGCCTAGTCAAAGAAGCAAATACCAGCAAGCGCTCTGTTATTCCTATGCTGGCACACCTGCTGCACGATGCGGGTCAGTTGAAGGGAGGTGGAGTCGCCTTTACGAAACCCAGATTGTGCGGGACTCAGAAACAGCGAAACCCGACTTTATAAGTGATCATAAAAGAGGAGTTCACATACTTTGGACACGCAGGAAAGAAGAGAGATAGGGCGGTAGTTTGCAGGTTCGTGGCGGGAACCTTTCTTGTATACAGGTATGACTTTCGCTGTTTTCCATGCGGAAGGGAATTTGCCCGTGGTAAATGACATGTGGAAAATATGGCACAAAGGGAATGCTATGGATGGTGCCAGGGTCTTGAGGACCCGGTTGGGGATGCCGTCGGGACCAGATGCCTTGCATGTCGGAAGCTTCTTCAGATGACGACGGACAGTGGCAGTTGTGGTGATGACGGACGTGAAACAAGCTGAGGGCTCCGAGGGGGTGAGAATAGGGGGAATAGAGAGCAACAGGTCATCAGGCCGAGTCACAGAGGCAAACTGGGTGTTTAATGCGGTAGCTTTGGTCAATCCTGCAAAGCAGTTTGCACTGAGCGGATATAAGGTCTGTGCTTTGTCCGCGTCAGGGTTTTCACTATATTTCGCTGCTGTTGGTATGCTTGTTTGTTTTGTTGTGTTAGGTACTCCTTAAAAATGCTATAGAGATCCTATTTCCATTTGATTGCTGTGCGGGGATGGGCATCAACCCAGGGTGGCTGACTGGTCCGTGGGCAGCGGTGAGAATACGGCTGCTTTTCGAATGGCCAGAGGTGCTTCTCAAGGGCACTGTTGAGAATGGAAGAAAAGTGCGAAAGCGCATCATTGACGTTGCTGGCACGCAGATGCCACCTCCAGTCAATATCAGCGAGCTCTGCATTCACACTATCCCGGACGGAAGATGGCACGGATCTAAAATCATATTCCGGCTTTGCAGGAACATTCCTAAAGTGGTATTGGGGTGCAGCAGCGGGATGTCCGTTTGCAGCAGGTTCCTCACGCTAAACAGCATCAGTAGACAGTATGAAGTGACTGAGGATCTGTGCGTGGTCAGATGCACCAAGAGGAGCAACAGATGTAACAGAGAGTAGAAGGTGAGGATGATCCGTGAGCACAACATCAATACACGATGTTGAGACGTGGGGGTAAAGTTTGTGGGGAATGTCACCATTGGCTCAAGGCCAAAACAAGAGAAGAGGTTACGGAACTCCCTTCCAGCACGATTCGTGGTGTCTCTATAGGAGACCATTCAGAATGGCGAGCATTCAAGTCTCCTGCAAGTACAATCGCAGAATTGGGAAGGCTAATATTGAACAGACAGTCCTCTAGGAGGTCACTAAATGCCTGAACTTGGGAGATGCTGTCTCAAGGGGGTCTGTAAACAGAGCAGACGGATCACTGGCCGCAATTCAAGCTAAACCGCCTCCAGTCCACAGCGCTCAAGGTCGAAGCGGCGCTCGATGGACATGAACCACTTGTCAGCTACAAGAGTAGCAACACCGCCATAGCCTCTTGCTGGCAGGTTATCAGAGCTGGTCGTAGGTGGGCGGTCCAGGCGGCATGACGTGTAGCCTGGAATTGAGACGTCTACGGCAGCTGTCAGCCACGTTTCACATAGGCAGATTATGTCTGGAGAATACTGCTCACAGACTTGACTAAGCTCAGCTAACTTATTTACTATGGAGCGCCAGTTAAGTGAGAGCACTGAGAACGATGAAGGAAATTGGGCAGGTTGATTAGGAGTTTTAGTAGTTTGTCGTCCATAATCAGGAAGGAATGGTGGTGCAAGTGGAATATGACTAGTAGGTATAGAAGAATTTGTAATGCAATGAGGGGAAGGGTGTGATGAACTTGCGTGGTGCACAAGGGGTTGGGCAAGAGGATTTAGCTGTTGGCTAGGTGACCGAGGACCCATCACTTGCTAGCGGAGTCGGCATAGCGCCATTTGCTGACGGTGTGCGCAATGGTGTCGGGCCAGAATTCCTTTTCAAGCAGCGTTTGCTCAAACTCTTCCGCGACAGAAACGCGTGAATAGCAGGTACCAAAGTATTGGGTTTCAGCAATTGTGCATGCGTATACACCAACGCCCCGATCAGCGCACCAGGTTACAGTGGACTGTGCCTTACTTCCAGGACTAACATTCCCGACAAAGAAGGCACATTACTTGGGAAGATGTGTGCCAGTGAGTGTGTTGGGGTTGGGGTTTTCTGTGTCCATTTTTCTGTAGACAGACACAACTTGGGATTTTGTTGATCGCTGTGGGCCGCTGATTTATTGCTCCTTCCCCGCTGTTCTTGCCAGTTGTTCTGATGGGGATCGCCTTCTGTGCTCCCAGCAGCACCCTGAGTACATGTGGGCTGTACTGGTGCACCACCGGCGCCTGCTGTTGTAAGTGCGCCCCCAGTTGTTGCATTTCTACCAGTGTGTACGGGTATGTTCCTGCGTTCCATGTGGTCGGTTTTAGGTACGGTGGCCCTGCTAGTGTTAGTTGAACTTCTGTATAGAGTATAGAGTGCGTGCAACCTCTTCTGGCTGTGTGCTATTCGTACTCACTGTACGAGTACAACGGGATTGCATGGCTGGAGTGTCGCGGTGTACGGGTTTGGATGAACCATTGTACTGCTGCTGGTGAAGCTGTCGCACTTCCCCCTTCAGCTCCGAAATTTCCAGCTTCAAGGACAAAATTATGCTATCCCTGTCCTCCCTCATGGAGGCAATCTCCCCCGCCAAGGCCTGGATAGTGTTAGCAAGGCTGTCTAGCTTAGAGTCATAAATCCACGACGTACCGGTGTCAGTGACGGGCTTCACTCCAACGCCAACTTCCGCAGTGCCTGCACCAGCTCTGGCCGGGCGAGGCTCGAAGGGGAGTCCAGGGACTTGCGTTTAGCGATGGCGATTAGTTCCTGGTACCCGATTAGGGCAAGATCAAGGTTTTGGTCCAGGGACATTCTTAGTTTCAGCAAGGACAAAGGTAGAAGGGTAAAACTGCTAAAGGGGGGCTCCCGGAAAGCTGTTCCGAGGAGCACCAAAAAAGTCAACCATCCCCTGAGATTCAAAAAAAACCTCAAACAGATTATTCTAATACGACCAAAACATTCTAACCAAATACAATTATCAAAGCTCCCTTTCTCCTTACAAATATCTAAAATCTGTTAGGGTTTTCGCAGTACTGCAATGGTTTTATTTCATGCCTATGCGTTTCAAAACGGAAAAACAGTCTGAGTTCATTCCACTGTTGTGGACTTATTAACCCCCTATTACTAATCCTAATGTTTGAACTGACCTACTGGTCGTAGTTGCCCTTTCAAGTGTTGATTTCCACTTATTCTCTAATTCCTGGCCTTTGCTTACTTCCAAGTACACGTAGATGGATAGGCAGATAAATACAGGTACCGGGGTGAGTATGTAAGTACATGTACATGAATGTATGTTGGTTTTCAAAAGGGTTGCAGCATGTTTGGAAAGCAGGTCATGGTATCTTTTGATTCATTAATGTTCCCCTCATCCTTCCACTGTGTTTATCCTGCAGCAAATGCGTCGTGTGAACGTACTAACCACGGGCGATCAGGATTGTTCACTGGTACAAAAACGACTACGACATACACTGCATACTGTGATCGAGAGGCTGATGGAGGTGGCTGGACTGTATTTCAGAGAAGAAAAGACGGCTCAGTGGACTTTTACCGTGACTGGAATGCATACAAACGAGGATTCGGATCAGCTTCTGGAGAGTTCTGGCTGGGTCTAGATACACTACACTATCTGACGTCCCAAGCTGGTAGTACTTATGAACTGCGTATTGATATGGTGTTCAATAAAACTGGAGTGAAGCATTATGCCAAGTGGTCAACATTCCGTGTTGAAGGTGAAGCTGACAATTACAGACTACACGTTTCAGGATTCTCAAGCCCTACATTGCAAGACAGGATGAATTACCACAATGGACAACAGTTCAGTACTCGAGACCGTGACCACGACTCTAACTCTGGAGACTGTTCCAATGCATTCAAGGGTGGTTGGTGGTATAACAACTGTCACAAAATCAATGTCAATGGATTGTATGGACGTCGTGATAGAGACGGAACTGGTGTAGTGTACGTGCATAACGGGAACAAGAGTTTGAAGTTTGTGGAAATGAAGCTAAGAAAGCGTGGATAAAACCCAAGGCACTACTAGATTCATTCCACACACTGCGCTCATTTGCATCCAAATGCAACATACTGCACGTCTTAACTAGTTTCCTCTTTTCATTATGTCTTTAGAAATGTTTAGACCTCTTTCCAAGCTTACAATTTCTTTGCAGAGAGGCAGCATGCCATTCGATTCTCAGTCGCGAGATTCTACAAACCATCGATGCTTTGTTTAACATAATATTACTGCACACATTCACTAAGTGAGTGTTTGCCATTTAATGGGCATTGCTCCAGTTCCTTCGCCACCATGAAACACATTGATCTTCTTGGAGCGCTTTCGTTTTATACTTTTTATTAGCGAGCCATCGTGGTTTCAAGAATACGATCACTCTTTGTAATGAATGGTACTTTCCCTCTCTACTACAGCCACCCGCATTCTCTCACTAACTCTCACTAACTCTCACTAAAGACCTGAACGTCATTAACCGTCAAGCGCTATCCACTTCAACTGTTTTTGTTTTACGTGACTAATTGCTTAAACCAAACACACAGTAGAATGACTCGCGAGCAAAAGCTGACGTTCAATTGAGGGGTAGACACACTATCAAAAATGTCTGTGATATGCACGGTAGGTAAGAACTGTTTCCTGGTGCCTCTATATCTTTTATTTTGAACTATGTGTGGCTCCTCCGTTCTTACTGAAGACTGGGGGTGAAAGTTGGCACTGAGATCCCGAGTTCGAGTACTCTGATCTTCTCCGATCGTATATTCGAGTAAAAAAGGGGAAGGACAAAATGTTACGAGTTATGACTACCGTTAAGTCTGGGATAAAAGTAACTGTCTACCAACGTTGGTGGACAGTTAGGCATAACTCGTAACATGTTGTCCTCCTTTTTCACCATAATTTAATTGGATGGTGGCACCATCCGAGTTGAAGACAGAGAGTAGAGGAAACATGGAAAAAGAGAGCAATACCTACATGTAGATACTAGATATGTGCGATTAGACTGAGTCAGTAGTCCACATTCCATTCTCGGCGCGCAGGTAGCGGTATACTTGCGTCTTGAATGCCTGCATTAGGCTGCGATGGGGAGGATGCAGGAGCAGATCACAGGGCAATGCATTCCACTGGTGGAGCACAAAGTGGGGAAATGATCGCTTCAGGACTAACGGGGTAGAGGCTGGCGTCCAGGTGAAACTGGTGGCCGGAAGCGCTGGCATGGTCGCTCCGGGTTCACGGAGTGGCCAACTGCTGACGGCGAGCTGGCAGAACCGCAAGAAGTTGAGGTGGGCCCGTAATTACTTGTAGCTTGTATAAACAAGCTAGGGCAGCTAATGTCCGTCTGATTGCCATACTGGGCAGGATTGCTCCCGGTCCGATGATTCTGAGGGCGCTGTGCTGGACTAGGTCCAGTCGGCTGAGTTGGCTGGGTGACGCTCCAATCCAGATAAGTGGGGCGTACTCCAGCAGGGGACGAACAAATGCCTTGTAAACTGGAAGGATCCGGTTCGGAAAGGTCCAAGAGGGGAAGGAACGTGCAACAAAGAAGAGCACGAGCTACGCCCCACGGCAACAAAGAATGCCGAAAGTTACTGGATAAAGAATAAAGTAGTTCCACGCGACGCACGTTTCGCCGTATATGTCATGACGGCTCAAAAGGTGTGCGAACTCCAACTCGGATCGTGATCCAATCTTATTATGGTAAAAACGGGGAAAGACAAAATGTTTCGTTGTATGACTAACTGTCCACCAACATAAACAGATCATATACAGTCAGGAAATGCGACAAAATGGCAGAAAACTGACAAGGAGAAGTGAGACATTCAGCGACCTGAAATGTTATTCCAACATGTCTCCAAGGTACAAACCAATAACCTTCCAACTCTGCAGGATGAGACTCGGAAATGTCTCAGTACTCCTTGTCAGTTTTGTGCCATTTTGTCGCACTCGCTGACTGTATATGATCTGGTTATGTTGGTAGACAGGTATTTATCACTCTTAACATGTTGTCCTGCTCCTTATTTAACATAATTAAATTGGCTCACCATCCGAATTCAAAGATAGTAAATGTTAGGGATTTTGTAAGTTCAAACTTTAACCGCCAAGTTTTGTTCCACAGCAAAGGTCATCCAATCAGTCTGCAGGTGATCGCAGCACCCATCAGAAGTACTGGCTGCTGATGGAAGAATAGTGAAGGGCTTTGTCATGAGCATTGGTACACGACACCACTGCATTGGGCAACATAACTATCAGCGGGATCGTACACAAAGGAGAGAGTATGAGCAAGAATGTTGGTCTTGCGCACACCAAAAAAGAGAGGGCGAACTCGGGATGGTACTTTAATTAATAATAATAATGATAATAAAAATACCAGCTCGCATGTACCCCATGGGGGAGATCACCCATGGGGCTAACGCCTCTGTCGGCAAAAAAGAGTTAGAGAAAACGAGAAATACATGACATACACATCTTCTCCATTCTGTTATTGCAGGAAAAACTACATCAATTCCACCATGAGCCTAGGCATGAGGAATATAATATTAAGAGAGCATGTCTGAGAAAACCAGAACATATGTGCAAGTCGATCTCTCAGATTTCGCTCAAATTTTGCAGGTAGGTTTGCTTTGGGGTGTAGATCGACATTCCAAAGCCCGCACAAAATCTTTTGAAGGGAACCATGAAATTGGCATACCCCTCAATATTGGCCCAATATTGGCACGATTTATGGGTCTACAAACGAGCCACGGCACAGCGTACAAGAACAAGCTACGAACAAAACTCCATCAAGCCATCATTACCTCACCTTAGAAGAGTTCTTGGGGCAGCACCACTTAGCCACGCCAGCATCCCAGAAGACGAGGGAAATCATCCCTTGACGCCACAAATGATCGTCTTGAAAATAGCCAAATTACAAGCGCTGATAAAACAGCGAGCTACGTCCTCAATTAGCAAACACTATACACCGGCAGATAGTAGAACACCTCTTCTAGCACTGAGGACATGTCCCCCATCATCCTTTTGGGGTTTTCTTGAAATAAACAATTTTGAATTTTTCCACTCGACCATTCTGAAATACGTCCAAACTCATACCTGCGCAGGAAAGCTCGCCCCTCCGCTACGTCTAGTCAGCAATTTCTACTCCAACACCACTCCCAACGCTGCAGAACAAAGTGTATTGTTGACTCTGACAAGGAAAAGCAGCGGTGATCACTTGTCACTCCAAACGACAAGCTTCTCCTTGCGCCACCAACATTTTTCGTTGCAACAGTTGATGCAAAAGTGACTGAATTTTTGCGTGTAGTTTTTGGATTTTACTGCAAGAGGAATGATGAAATCACGTGCCTCGTGACACAAGAATGCCAGGTCTCGTAGATCACGGTTCAGCAGTTGTTCCGAGTCACCTTGATCAAGCGCTCCTGCACTTACATGGATCACCCGTTGATCTAGATCGGATCAAGTGCATCTTGATGTCCAGCTCAAGAGCACGCATGTCGTGTTGTAGGCCTTCCACTGTTCCAGCTGGGACTTTCTCTCTACATGCAGCACAGAGACGGGCGGCGAGTAGGGTCAAATCACGTTGTTCATGACGTAAGAAATCTGCCATGTGGCCGCGCCACATACTTCATGCAACCAGTGTTGGCCGCGCGCTGGTCAACTCCAAACGACCTTGATGGCATGGACCACGCTCATTCCTTGCTGTTGCAGATCTACGTGGATCATCAGCATGTAAACCAGCCGTAGTTCCTGCTGAACCGTGTATTGTTCGGGATGAGCGAGGTTAGTGTGAAAACTTTGAAATGCATCCCTGTTCTTACTGCAAGAGGAAATATCTCCAAGAATTCTTGCCAATGCAATACTGCTAGCGTTATAACGATAGTTTCTGCATGTTCTGAGCAGAGCATGCAAGAAATATAATGCATCTTACCTCCTCCCTCATGGTCCGTTTCGAATAGCGCCTCAGAAACGATCGTGATCGTGTGCATTGTGTCGTGTACCAGAAAGCATTATTCTACGACACGATCCACGTGATTTCGTCATTCCTCTTGCAGTAAAATCCAAAATCTACACGCAAAAATTCAGTCACTTTTGCATCAACTGTTGCAACGAAAAATGTTGGTGGCGCAAGGAGACTAGCTTGTCGTTTGGAGTGACAAGTGATCACCGCTGCTTTTCCTTGTCAGAGTCAACAATACACTTTGTTCTGCAGCGTTGGGAGTGGTGTTAGAGTAGAAATTGCTGACTAGACGTCGCGGAGGGGCGAGCTTTCCTGCGCAGGTATGAGTTTGGACGTATTTCAGAATGGTCGAGTGGAAAAATTCAAAATTGTTTATTTCAAGAAAACCCCAAAAGGATGATGGGGGACATGTCCTCAGTGCTAGAAGAGGTGTTCTACTATCTGCCGGTGTATAGTGTTTGCTAATTGAGGACGTTGCTCGCTGTTTTATCAGCGCTTGTAATTTGGCTATTTTCAAGACGATCATTTGTGGCGTCAAGGGATGATTTCCCTCGTCTTCTGGGATGCTGGCGTGGCTAAGTGGTGCTGCCCCAAGAACTCTTCTAAGGTGAGGTAATGATGGCTTGATGGAGTTTTGTTCGTAGCTTGTTCTTGTACGCTGTGCCGTGGCTCGTTTGTCGACCCATAAATCGTGCCAATATTGGGCCAATATTGAGGGGTATGCCAATTTCATGGTTCCCTTCAAAAGATTTTGTGCGGGCTTTAGAATGTCGATCTACACCCCAAAGCAAACCTACCTGCAAAATTTGAGCGAAATCTGAGAGATCGACTTGCACATATGTTCTGGTTTTCTCAGACATGCTCTCTTAAGTACAGAATGTTATTTATCAAAAAGATATTTGAGTAAGCGCAGATATTTTAGGCATGATGAGTTCGTACATTGATTCACAATGCCGAGCCAAGCTTCCCTGTCTTGAGAGATAGCTTCCGCTTCGGCAATGGAAACGTTTATTGTCTTTAAGTCATTCTTGATGTTGTCGATCCATCTGGTTACGGGGCGTCCTCTGGGCTTCTTGATGTCTTTGGTGTCACGTGAAAGTCTTAGAGCTTTGTAGGATGATGAGTCACTGCCTTCTCTGATTACATGGCCGAACCATAACTAGCGCCGTTCCCTGCAAGTTCTGGTGATAGGCAATTGGCTGAAGAGCTTGTATAAGTTTTTATTCGATATTATTTGGGGATACACTACGCCAAAAATGGATCATAGTAGCTAGTTTGCGGCGATGCCACGTGTCGATTCTGTTGCCGAGTGCTACTGTCAAGGTTCACAGGCCACAGTTGTATAATAGAACCGGAAGGATAAGTGTGGTAAACATAGGCAATCTAGATAATATAGTGTGTCTCTTCCAGGCTATAGTGCCAAACGCTTGATTAGCCGCATTGATACGGTTCTCGATTTCACTTCCAGATCACAAGAGACTTCCAAGTAGTTTCGTCTTTCTCCATGCGTCATCATCCTTGGAAGGAGTTACAAATTGAGTTTTTTTAGATTTAATCTCAGGTCATCCTGGGCGAAAATTGGCTCACATTTCGCTGCAGCGGCCACCACAGCATCACGATCAGTGTCATGTATTGTCGTGTCATCTGCATACTGTGAGAAATGAGTAGGCCGGTATGAAGGGGAGGTGCAGGCTTCTCTCACCTGCCTCATCGCACCTTCTGCGTAGACAATTAACATGGCCGGAGACATCGAGTCTCTCTGAACCACGCCGATTTTGGTCGAGAAGGGAGCACTGAGCTGCCGGGCAATCTTCACCCTAGCTGTCGTATCGGAGACTAGCAATTTCATCATTGAGGTGGGTACACCCGAAGCGGCCATTCGATCAAGCGCCTTGCCATGGTTCACTGTGTCGAATGCACCGCTGCAATCTAGTAATGCTGCCGAATAGTTCCAATTTCCTAGCAAAGCTCTCTCACACAGAGACCACAAACAGAAAACCCCATTAGCCGTTGAGCGACCAGGTCTGAAACCGGCTTGTGACTCGTCCACAAATTGCTGAATATTGGTGCAATTCTCTTTGTGATTATGGTTGTAAGGACTTTCCGAACCACTGACAATAGCATTACTGGTCTGTAAATCTTCGAGGCTCCCTTCGGTTTGCCATTTTTGTATATTGGCACAATACTTCCAGTGGTTATGTCGGCTGGGCAGTGCTGTAATTGGCGAATGACATTGAAAAAGGAGGACAGCCAACCAGCTAGAATGTCGGAACCTGATACTTTAAAAACAACTAATGGTACTTGCAGATGACGTAATGGTACTTGCAGATGACGTAACGGTACTTGCAGATGACGGTCGCAGTGATACGCTTAGTTAGCCATGGAAGCAAAGACTCATTGAAGAGGTAGCCAGTGATCTTGTAAAACCCGCAACAGCGTGACACCTTTTCAGATGTTAAAGCAGTATCTACTGCTACTTCAAGGACTACTCTGCGAGAGTTAATAGTGCGTAGCAATGCAGAAAGATTCAGCAGGTCTACTAGGACTAGAGCATTTGGCAAAAGCCAAACCTGGTACTCAGCTAGATGTTTCAAGATGCTAATAATGATGCTCTGCATGACTTTAGATTTGAACCTTCATGTGCAGTGCATATCCGTCCTGCTTTGTGGGAAACTGGATATCTACCATAATGAGTATAGGTTTTTTCGGCAAGAGCGGGTACAAGATCACTACCCCAACAGGATTTGCGTGATCAAGAGGGGTAAGCAGCAGCATTCGGCCTTGTCCTTGCCATCTATCGAAGTCACACCTGGCTATCACTACATGACTGTACTCTCACTAACACCCTGTGTCCTCAATGTAGTCTATCAGTATCGCCTTTGCTTAGCCCTCATCTTCGCGCCTTAATCTTCGCGCCTACGATGCGCCATTATGTTTGCCCCCTTTTCGCGCCTAAGATGCGCCATGTTTTTGCTACAAAAGGGTGAAGTTCACTATCTGTTAGCCATTCTACATTCTCAATCTTCACTGACGAGATCCTGATGATCGAAACAGCTGCTGTCTGAAGGAGCAGATTACCAACTGAAGTGTCGTTTTGCTGATGGTGTGCTGTGGAAACGTGTTGAGGTCGGCCGGAGAGCGCAACGGTGTGGTGTGGTGGTTGATAAGAATCAGGATTTGCGTGAGATTGATATTGTCGTCGCTGTGAAAAATCGGTATTTGAAACGCCTCCAAAATCACCGTTTGTTGAGCTGATTGACCACAACGAGCCATTTCTACTAATTTTCTAGATAATCAGCTGAACGCTGATCGAAGGTGAAATGAGCCTGCGGACAACTACTAGTCTCTCTTTATGGGTTGCATTGTTGTGGGTGGTCTCGTTTCGTAGTGCTCTCTCCAGGACCGTCCTTTCAGGAGAGCACCCCAGTACTGGAAATGGAACAGGTGAGAGCATTACTATAACGATGTTAATTTTCGTCATTGAACCCAAAAGAATTTTGTCTATGGACTGGTTGGACAGAGTTGCACTCTTGAGTATCACAACCTTCTAAACTCTTCCTTAGCTATTGGCAAACTCTTTGTAAACTCTTGATAATCTCTTGGTTTTCTTTCCAGTGAGGTCTTTTACCTGAATGGATTAAATGCGCTGCAGTGTTTTGTGGCTGAAAGTACTTGTAATTATATTCGTTTGTTGTGCAGTTGTTTTACTTTTTGAATTCTCAGTCTGCGGACAGAACTGTTTCGTCCTTTGTACTGTTTTTACTTTGGAGCATTTCGAGCACTCTTGGCGGGGTTTGCAGCTCTTTATAAAAATTCTTTGCTTCACGGAAACGTATTAATTTTCATTGCGAAGAGCTGCGCTTCGGTCCTCTGAGCTGTGCTGAGGAGCTCTAACAGAGCGAAACAGTTGCTTTCCACAGATTTGAGTATTATGCTCCCTAGCAGTCAGCAATGTCGTTAGGTTCAGCACTCTTACCTTAGCGCGAACCCTTGCCGCTCGCCATGTGCAACGCTCACTGCTCTTGGAGAATTTCGAGCACTCTTGGCGGGGTTTGCAGCTCTTTATAAAAATGCTTTGCTTCACGGAAACGTATTTCATTGCGAAGAGCCGCGCTTCCGTCCTCTGAGCTGTGCTGAGGAGCTCTAACAGAGCGACACAGTTGCTGTCCACAGATTTGAGTACTTTTTGTATATTTATATCCGCGTACCAAAGCTTAATATGAGGATTTTGCGAGCAGAATGCTGGAATCCATGATAGCAATGATTTCGAGAGCATAGTCAGTCGGAGCGTAGTGGACCCTGGCTAGCGCCAGACGACAGCGTTTGGTTGTTCTAGATGTGGTCAATGCACCCATGCTGAGTTAGTGTCAACTAATTACTTGATTGACCGAGTCTCTTCTGATTGAACCTAGAAACTAACGTTGCGTTAGTTCCACGGGGCAGGTGACTGGGGAAAGCGAGCGTCGACGATCATATTCATGATATTTACTGCTAGCAATTGTAGAACGTCGTTATTATTATTATTATTATTTCACAATCACGATGACATAGTGCCAATAAGCATGTGATGCGGGCGATTTTAACCAGCCATGGTGGGGACAACTGAGAAAAAGAAGGAGAAGAAAAAGAGAAAACAAAACAAAACAAAAGGAGTACTATAGGAACCTGGAGAGAGCAGTATGAAGATAAGGCTAGCAATGGAAAACAACGAATTCAATTCAATTCAACTTAGGCGGGGGCAGAATGGAACAAAATGCAGCGAAGGTGTCACGAGACTTTACCTCCTGCGGAAGCCGAGACCAATGAGAATAGGACTTGAACAGAGGGGATTTTAAAAGGATCGATGACCTGGCAAGTGGGAAATGGAGAGAACATCTAGTACGCGAGCTATTATTGAACCAGCTTAAATGCGCAAGTGCATGAGGAGGAGCAAGTTGAAGCTTAATACGGTGAATGAATTTGCATGCCGAGTGGGGAAAGCGTTCTGAGAGAGGGGAGGATGAAGCCAAAATGTATAGCGTCTGAGAGGAGGTCAGAGGGGGCATGCGAAATATTAATCGAAGTAATTTACGGTGGGTGACTTCTAACCGATGCATTAGAGCGGAGGATAGACCGGAAGACCAAACGAGAGAGCAGTAATCAAACAAAGGAAGAACATAAGAGTGATAAATTTGTATTCGACAACCATGGTGTAGATGGGAGATGTGAGGAGAAATGCAGCCTATCGCGGAGCAGACTCGCTTTTCAATATAGGTTACGTGCGAATCCCAGGACAAGTGTTCATCAAAAAATATACCAAGGTGTTTGTGATTTTTAGTTATTTCTTACAGGATCAGTAGGACATACTCCCGTCATTAAAAATATGATTATTTTTGAAGCCTCGCATTTACCGGTTTGTAGAGCTGATTGATCACATTGAGAAATTCCTAACACTACACAGTTAGATGACCAACTGAACACTGATGGAAGGCAAAATGAAACGCGCGTCAACTAAGCCGTTCTATACCCCTGTCTCTTACTCTGTATGTAAACATGGTAAAAGTTCACCTTGGGTTCCCAGTAAAAAGGCAACGCCTGTTGGGACTCCCCTAGTAAAATAATAAAATCTACTACTGTACTACTACTACTACTACTACTACTACTACTACTACTACTACTACTACTACTACTACTACTACTACTACTACTACTCTATGTGGGTAGCATTGTTGTTGGCGGCCTCCTTCAGTAGTGTGGCTGCAAGGAGCGTTTCTGCAGGTACCCACTCCAGTGCTGAAATGAAACAGGTAGGTGCATTGCCAATGAGGTTCCTCAAATAGGCTCTATCCTACTGCACCGACTTGAACCTTACAAGTCGTCTGGTCAGAAATCTTTCGCTGTTGAGTATCACAGCCTACTATACTCTTGCTGTACCGTTGATATGACTGTCGCCTTCAATGAAAATGAATGAAATGCAATATCACGTTTGTAGCGGAAAGAAAATACTCCGTTCATTTGCTTTGCGAGGATTCAACAAGAACAACATACAGATTGATCTCATTTCTGTTCAAAGTTGTTTGGTGAACGCCTAGTGCGTGAAGCTCGGAGTTGCAATGCATTATTTATTCTCTTTGACGTACAAATGTACTTTTTGCTTTGCAATGATTCAATTTTTCTTTATTTTGTTTGCCCGTAAGGTGATACTGAGTCGTGTATGGCACGAGTTCTTCATCTACTACCATTTACCGCTCTTCGTCTCAGCATCCATGATACAGAGGCTGTGCTAATTGGTTTACGTCACCCCATTGATCAGCTCAACTCCGCAAATGCTGACAGAGCACCACTATCTGCGTTCTTAGGTGGACGGCAGAATGCTGATTTGCTGGTACAGTGTCTGAGTAAGTTTCTGATGATCACCTCATTCCATTTTTCTTCCGATCCAAGGAATTCCGAGGATTATATACAACCATAGATACGATGCCATGTTTTTACGAAGTCTCCAACTCGATGTTCGTGTGTATGTCGTCCTTTCACGGCAGCAGTTACGCCAATCTCATTCACCAACAGATAACCTCATACACGAAACTCAGAAGAACATTCGAAACCCGCTGAAGTCTGTTGTATCTTCTATATGATTTACGTTCTAGGAGAGGGAAAATAGCACTATTTGCAGTGAGGACCCGACACACTCTGTGCAGTTATTGTATGCGCACGTTACAAGTTCAATATCCGTTGAAGCTTTTTGCATTGCCTTCTTTCGGATCATTTGGTATGGTATGGTATGGTATTGATTTATTTGAATTCGGTATCTCAACAGAACATTGTACAACTTGGGAAGATCCGAATGACATAGATACATAAACATAAAAGTGGAGAAGGTGCTACAGCTGATCATTTTATCGCAGGTTGTGGGACTAAACTAATACCAGTATGCAAGTACACAAGAAATAAAAGCTGAATAAATACGACTGCATGACATTGGAGAAAAGCACCAACTAGAGCAAAACAAAGCGACGCATCACTCATTGAAAACATTTTCAAAAAGGAGCTGTTTTAACCGGGTACATTGTGGCCCGTCATTAAGAAGGCAGGCAAGATGGGCTTTTTTATTTTATTTAGCAGAACACCAAACTTGTGTGTTCTTCTGTCGTATTAGAATTCTGTTCATTTTTTTTAACTTGTTCTGACCACATTTTGTCTTGTGATTCTTGGTTTATGCAGGTGGTCAGCTTGAGCAATGTCGACAAAGTCCCCAGTGTAGCGATGCTGGGAAGTGCATTTTGACACGTTCTATACAAGGGAAAGGCTCATACACTTGCAAATGTGATGATGGTCATACTGGACAGTTTTGCCAGACAGGTAATTATTATTTTTTTTTTTAACTTCTTTTGGGGCACAAAACCAATGATGATTTTCCCCGGTGATCAGTGACCATTGTTGGGATGCAGGCATGTGTAATTTGTGTATTTTCGTTCGCTCTGTTTTAGGATAAGCAAACGCATTGCATTTTCTACTTTTACTTGTACAGTTGCACGCGATAGGAGATCAAGTGTTACTAGTATTTTATTCCCGTAGCTATGCAGAAGACGTTACTTCAGTAACGTCTGGCGCTAGCCAGGGTCCACACAGCTTTAATTTGGTGTTTGTTTGTTTGTTTGTTTGCGTCACGCCTGGCGCTATCCGTATCTGTCCCGTACCGTACCATACCATCAAACACAGCTAGCTGGCCACATGCAGCTGGCCGCAATATTCAAATATTATTATTATTAGACACAATCTCATAGCATGTGACAAGCATAGCTAATGTAGGGACAGAATCCCCTGAGACAAGGGCGTTGAGCCAGCCACGGCAATAGTAAGCTAGGAAAACAAAGCAAATATGAATTAGAGCAGAAAATGAATGGAAAATTACAAAGAAAAACGATTAACGGAAGTGAGCACTATCAAAATTCGTGCATCACCCAGGTATTCGAGAATGTTCTTCGATGATAATTATTGCGTCTAGTTCAGTTGTGATAGTAGATCTTTAAACTGACCAATAGAAGAACAAGTTTTCAGACCGTATGGTAATGATAACCAATGAGAGTAGCCGGAAAACAAAGGGGACTTTAGATACTGGGCTGACTTAACAAGAGGCAGGATGAGCGCGTTACGGGTTGGACGGTTACACTAGTGTAACCGTCCAACCAGAGCGATTCAGGATCAAGAGTAGAACGACTTTATTATACCATCAACGGGGTTATATGGGACAGAAGTGTAATCCAAGGTGAACATGCAACACAGGTGTGATGTAACACAACGTAAGTGGGAACGTGTAGTAGGATGCACAGTGTGAGTGTGTGAATCTGTTACACCACCCCCCTCGCCAGCAAAGGTGAGCCGGGCTAAACACGAGTAGGTAAGCATTATAATACCAGTAAATCAATATTATTGGTTCGAAAATAATTGCTAACACAAGAGGCAATTCAAGGTATGGTAGGAAGTAAAACTCAACGCAGGAAAGGCGGCTATTCGACGCTTCGTTTTCAAGTAACTCTGCAGCGGAATAATTTCCTTGTTAGACTCGTCCAATAAATGTTCGATAGGCTCCCAGGTGTTCTCACTGTAGCCACGCCATTGAACTAGATACTCCATGCGGCCCCTCCGTTTCCGTTCATCGACGACCGCGTCTACAATATAACGCGTGTTGCCGTCCAGATCCGTTATTGGTGGCGGAGGCGGCTGTTGCCGTCCTGGTATAGAGTTCTCCTCATACCGCCTCAGAGCTGACACATTAAACACCGGATGACAACGCATATTGGCAGGAAGTAGCAACCGGAAGGCATTGGCACCAACCTTCTCAGTTACAGGAAATGGACCATACCATTTGGAACGCAGCTTAGGGGACGGCTGATTCCGCGCCTCGGGAGTAATGAGGAAATCCCTATAGACCAGAACACGGTCACCAACCTTTATAGTACTGGGGGCACGAGTGTTGTCCGCATACAAGGCCTGCCGCGCCTGAGCCGCTACAATAGCATCCTTAGCAACGCGTAACGCATCCTGTTGCTCCTTCACCCAATCAGAGTGTCCGACTCCCATACGATCACCCAGCAAATCCGCTGGGGCTCGGGGGTGAAACCCAAAATTCAAATAAAATGGGGTATGCGATGTAGAGGAATGGTGGGCACTATTGATGGAGAACTCGCAAAGAGGCAATAGCTTATCCCAATTGTCATGCTTATGGTTAATGAATGCACGGAGGATGTCTTCAACCAGCCTATTCACCCTCTCCGTTAATCCATCTGTTTGGGGATGGTTTGCCGTGCTGAAACAAAGCTTGGTTCCCAGAAGTTGAAACACCTCCCTAAAAAAGGCAGCAGTGAACCGAGGATCTCTATCTGAGACAATGGATGAACTCAAACCATGCAACCGAAAAACGTTAGCTATGTACAATTCAGCACTGCCCTTGGCATCAATGGATGTGGTAGTCGGTACCAAATGAACGCATTTAGTCAGGCGGTCCACAAAGGTATAAATAGCATCATGTCCAGCAGCTGTCCTAGGAAGACCCGTAATAAAATCCATGGCGATATCCTCCCACGGGCCTTTGGGTATTGGTAATGACTGCAGCAGGCCCGTGCGCAGCCTCACCGGTTTAGTTCGCTGGCAAATATCGCAAGACTTCACGAAACGTTTGACATCGAGTCCCATTTTCGGCCAATAGAAAATTTTTGCCAAGCGTGAATACGTGCGGTCACGCCCTGGGTGACCTGCCGTCACGCAGTCATGGTTCTCCTGTACCAATTTCAGCCGTAGGGTACACCTCGGTATGCATAAACGGTTGCTAGGAGACGCCTTCAAGTAGAGGAACCCGGAGTCGTTGTCGATGAAGTACTGACTGTGCACATTGTCACTGTCGGGGCGCTTCATTCGTTCCATAACTACACTCAGCTCAGGGTCCACGGCATAACTGTCCAGTATCATGTTGGCTATATCGTCATTGACCTCCAAGGTATATTCTATAGCGTTTAGTCGAGCTTCAGGCGGAACCACATGATCTTCGTCCCTTAAGTCCGGGTGGCGTGACAACGGATCCGCCACATTCTCCTTGCCAGGTTTATGGTGAATAGTGTAATCAAAGTCCGCAAGAAATTCAACCCAACGGGACTCCCTTTTCGTGAGATTTGATTTTGTCAGTAAGTAGACTGCTGCTCGGTTGTCTGTGAAAACGTCAAAGTGTTCAAACAAATAAATGCGCCACATCCGGAGGGCGGACACAACTGCTAACGTTTCTCGTTCCGACGCTGTGTAGTTCCGCTCCGCCGAGGAAAGCTTTCGACTGCCGTACGCCACTGGCAACCAACAACCAGGTTCCCCCTCCTGCGAGAGCACCCCCGCGATTGAAAAATCGCTAGCATCAGTTTCAACTCGGAAAGGTTTTGATACGTCTGGAAGTCTCAAAATAGGGGGATTTAGCAGTGCCCTTCGCAACTCCTCGAATGCTGCCTGGGCCTCACCAGTCCATGAGAACCTGGTGTATTTACCCGTTAGCTCCTCCAAGGGCTTGGAAATATATGAATAGTGTCTAATAAAGCGACGGAAGTAATTGGTAAACCCGAGAAATTGTCTCACGTCTTTCACCGTACATGGGGTGGGCCAATCACGAACTGCAGCCAACTTCTCCGGATCAGGGCTAATCGAGGAACCGGTCAAACGGTGACCCAAGAATAGAATTTCTTCCACCGCAAACTCGCATTTCGGTAACTTGCAGAATAGTTGGTTAGCGCGGAGGGTAGTCAGAACGGTTCGAATGTGCTCAACGTGCTCTTCCAGGGTTTTGCTAAAAATCAGAATGTCATCCAGGAACACTACCACGAATTGGCGCAAGTACGGCTGCAGAATGGAGTTCATCAGTGATTGGAAGGTTGCCGGGGCATTAGTCAGACCAAACCCCATGACCCTGAACTGGTAGTGGCCAAACGGGGTGTTAATTGCCGTTTTCGGCACATCCTCCTGTTGTATCCTGATTTGGTTGTATCCTGCGCGAAGATCAAGCTTCGAGAAATATGCACTGCCCCGCACTGTGTCGAATAGGTCCTCAATGTTAGGGAGGCAGGCCTTATTCTTAATTGTTATTCTATTAAGTTCCCTCCAGTCACACACCATGCGAAGAGATCCATCTGATTTCTTCACAAAGAACACAGGAGCCCCATAGGGCGACTTACTCGGCTCTAAGAAGCCTCTCCGGAGCAGCTCCTCAATCTGCTTCTGGAGCTCGTCTAGCTCCGGCTTCGGAAGGCGGTATGCCGGTCGTGATGGTGGCGCTGTCCCTTCCGCCACCTTTATTTCATGGTCGACCGTTCGCTCTGGCGGTAGTTGGTCAGGGAGCTCGTCCGGAAATAGGTCGTCGAACTCACGTAGCAGAGCGTTCAGCTCACTTCCGAAGTGAGTTCCTTCCTTGTCACGGATAGGTGGTGGATCTTGGCCCGGCGCATCATCCTCCATAGAGACCCAGGCTATATACGCTTCGTCTCCTGAACGAATAGCGGCATTCGCTTGTGCTGCAGAGATGAAGTGGGATTCTGCGAACTCGGCGTCCTCGCCAGCTTCGTGGCCTCGAGCCACGAAGGTGTCCTCCTGGATCTGCACCTTTTTACTCCGGAAGTCGATCGTTGGGTTGTGGCGAGACAGCCACGGCATTCCCAAGATGGCGTCGTAGCGCGCCAGTGGCAGCACGGTGAAGGTCTGGGTTTCGCTGAAGTCAGCTACCACCACTTTTACTGGCCCGGCAGTTTCCAAAGGCTGTGTACGAGACGAGCCATCTGCTAATGTGACCTTCAGCTCCTTGGTCGCCGTGTCAGTCTTCAGGTTATGTCTCCTGACGAACTCCGACGACAAAAAATCGTGGGTAGAGCCAGAGTCTATTAGCATGGTAGCCTTCCTCCCATTCACCTTCCCAGTGACACATAGCAGATCGTGCTCTGCGCTCATCGCCACGCTGCTGATGTGCGCCTTAGGCGTAGCGTCAGAACTCTCCACTGCAGGATCACTTGCGCTGTCTCCTTCCTCAACACTCAGGCCCTCGAACCTATTGAACACAATGAGTGGTGTGGGTGCCTGAGTATCCACCGCCAGTGAGCGCACTCCCTTCTTCACTGGCTGGAAGCGTTTGGGGAATTCACGATGACTGGACAGTTTCTGGCAATATGTCCAGGCTTCCTGCATGAGTAACATATGGGCTCACTCGTACGGTTAGATTGCTGCTGCTGACGTCCCCATGGACTGACAGGTTGCCTCGGTGTACTGGCCTGAGCGTGAGGTGCCGGACCCGGGTGCCTCGACCGACGAATGCCTGTGCCTGTGGTGGTCTGTTCCCT